GGGGGGCCGTGCAGGGGTCCCGGGGCGAGGGGGCTGGCACTGAAAGCAAGACGGCTCCAAGTCACCCTCCTTCCTACAGAAGGGAGCTGCTTTCTGATGGCAGCTACAGGGGCTTTGTGCACTGCTGTGGAGAGAAGTGAATCTTAAAGTGCTGACTCAGAACTGGTTCAGATTAAATTCCCATTAAGACCAGTGGGAGACTGGAGCAGAAGGGCTCAGAAGGACCTGATGGTTAACCCGTAATAGTAATGTGAATAAAAACCTCCTTTAAAAATCTGCACTAGAAAACCAAGCAGTGCTCCATTTTCTGGTGCCATATTGACTCAAGCTTTTGAGAAGTAGAGTAGTTGTTAAGGAATGAACTAAGTAATGTATAAACATTTATTTTAAAAATAAAACCATGGAAATGTCTTTATTTGCTGTTTATACTGAATTCTGAATATACGTATGAATTCACCGATGGAAGAGCACTATGCCTGATCCTCTGCTTGCTCGTTAGTGCCAAAGCAGTGGATCACATCTGGAAATGGGCTGTTGTTTTCCTTGCGGCGGGGGCACTAGATCTGGAACAAGTCCCTCTGGTGCCGTGTTATCTGGTCCTGAGATGGTTTAAAGATGTGCTGTCTGTCCATGTGTTCCAGAAATCGAGAACCCCGCTGAGAGAGTGCACCAGATCCAGCAAATCATCGTCACTCTGCCCCGGGCTGTCATCGTTGTCATGAGATATCTTTTTGCTTTCCTTAACCAGTGAGTCTATATTTTCCTCTTTCGCTGAGTTTCTTCTTCCCCTCCTTTTTTTCAGGGCTTCTCTGTCTTTGTTGCATGAGTCCTTTTTGGTATTGCCATGGAGAGTTGTGTTTTGCTCCTTCCCCAGCCTCGCGTAGCCATGGCTGTGTGTTCGGGGAAGATGTATAGCTCAGCGATGATTGCTTTCTTGGGCGGCGGGGGTTTGTTGGTGGGAGACTTTTCTGAGCGAACGGGGAGAGTCGGCACCGCACCCCCCTAATGCTTGTGCTTGCAGCTTGTCGCAGTACAGCGATGAGAACATGATGGATCCCTACAACCTGGCCATCTGCTTCGGGCCCACTCTGATGCACATTCCAGACGGGCAGGATCCGGTGTCCTGCCAAGCCCACGTCAATGAGGTCATCAAAACCATCATCATTAACCACGAGAGCATCTTCCCCAGCCACAGAGAGCTGGAAGGACCTGTCTACGAGAAGTGCATGACTGGAGGGGAAGAGTACTGGTAAGGAGCCGGGGCAGGACTTCATGTTTGCAGAGCTTAAAGCCAGATCCCCTCGTTAGGGTTATCTTCTGGCACTGTACGTTAAGAGTGAACCCGTGACAAAATGCAGGTGCTGGACAGGGAATTGACCCCAGCTCCCATGAGTGTAGGGGAAGGGCTCTTGGGAGCAGATCCCTGAGAGGATGGGGCATGCGGAGAGCTTTGGGAAGTTTACATGTAATATTCAGGGCAGCTGAGCACGGTGCTGGGGTGAATTTGCCCCCCTGCAGAAGGGGCATGCCTTTTTGTGTGTATTCCTGTTAAACGTTATTAATTAGGTGTGCAAGTGATACGTATTTCATATGCTTGTGCCATTTTACACTGGTTAAGAATCTTACTCCATATCAGGCTGTCTGCGTGGTTCTTAGTTATAAATACCTTCATAAGCTAAAAGGATTTTGCACACATAACCGATGAGTCTCTGCTTGTACACATAGGTTTTGCTTTTCATTTTAGCCTTGCCGGTGAAAACAGAGGCAGTTTCACTCAGTTTTCGTTTTCATTTTTCTCATGCTGACTCAACATTACAAACCTCAGTAGAAACTTCAGGAGAAAATTGTTTCCAATATGAATATCAGGATCTATACAAAAATCTTTTAGCTGCAGATTCACTAAAGTGTGTTCAGAGCAAAACAATCTTAGGTCAGTTCTAACCAAATTCCTCTTAGGTTGGAATTTTTGAGTAAAGTCCCATGATTCCATCATAATTGTGTAAGTTGGACGACATCCCTTAGCCTGAAATTAACCTGAACCTTCCAGTTCCTTTTGTTTTGTCAGCGTTAGAAGAGTTTGTGTTAGCCAGGGATAGGACAGCCGTGTGCGATTGCCCTGTGTCGCGTCTTTCTGGTGCACAATTTGCCCTTCTTGGTATACCCAGGATAGGAAAACTCCATAAACAAACCCCTGTGTTAGAAGAGTAAGTGATGTTACACATTTGTCTGGAGGATGCTGGAGTTCTAAACGGACGTTCAGATCTGAGTTTTAACAAACCAGTATTTATATCAGACTTGAACTGATTCGCTTGCAAGTTTTATACATTTCTGAGTCCGAATCTTCCCTGACGCTGATCACCTGCCACCATCCTTACTGATGCAAGTGGAGGATAAAATACTAAAACTCATTGTGAATGAGTGAGTGGAACATTTTAACTTGTTTTCACTTTATATTTGTTTTGCTAAATACGAGTAAGACACATGAGCAACAGAACGTGATGTTCTGGGCCTGAGGATGTGGTGCGAGTGTCTGCTGTTCTCAGAGCAAGTTCACAGATCTGCTGTGATTTAAAATGACCATCTCAGTCCTATAAAAACTAAAACCATAACTCTTTCAAGTGTCACTGGGGCCAGAATTTCCCTCAACAACTTACTTTTGCTAAGCGCCTTGGGAACAGAATCTCATTCTTTCTTTGAAAGTGTGGTGTATTTTATTTCAGCGACAGCCCGCACAGCGAGCCAGGCACCATCGATGAAGTTGACCATGACAACGGCACGGAGCCGCACACCAGCGATGACGGTGAGCACAGGCAGAGAACTGGGTCTGTGTCAGGAAAGCTGTGCGTGCAGGAAAGCAGCGTGCACTTCGCTCCTAGTCAGGTCAGGGGCTGGGCCAGCGTCTGGCACTTTAGCGGGGGACAGTGCTTCTGTGTGCTTGATAACACGTATGCATATTCATAAGTGTTGCCTATAGGTTTTCATCGCAGGATGTGCATGGACCTTCGCAGTGGTCTGACTCCATGGCAGGGTACAGGGGTTGTTTTTTTGGAGCTGTTCTATGAGATTCCATTTATCCCATATATGACTTTTTTTTTCCTTTTCCTTGTCACGTGTACATACGTGCAGCCATGCGATGGTGAGGACACGCTCTGTGAAATGGCTCACGAGAACAGGAGGGGAGATGAGGGGGCTGATGTGGGGGGACCAGCTCTGTTCACTCCAGGCCCTTGGATGCACCGTGGGCAAAACAGCGAACGTCTGTGGCTCACTGGGGGCCCTCCGAAGCAAGGGGGGTCTTCCAGCTGGTTTCATTATGCTGTGGACCATCCCCTGTCGAGCAGCCATCTCCTTGGCAGAAACTAAATGCCCCTGTATTCGAGCGAGCTGCTGCCTGGCTTTCCTTGCAGTCAGTTCTGTTTCCTTTGGTGACGAAGTACCCGCCTGCTCATTTCTGCCCGTGTCAGGCCCGTGGAGCTGGCCGCCTTCAGAGGGCAAAGCAGGACGTATTGTGAGCCAGAACTGTGCGGATGGGTGCAGCCGGGTGTGAATCCCTTGCAACTGGGTGCATCATCAGCCTTTCGTAATGCTCTGGAGGAGGCTCAGGTCCAGCTTTCCATAAGCTCGTGCCTGCCTGCGCTTCTGTGTAAACCAGCTTGCAGTTTCACATACGGGCTCTCAGTAAAAGCTTTGAAGCTCACGGTGATCGCAAAGGCAGGTGTGGAAACGGGGGCACTGGCAGAGCTGGGAAGAAGCGTGTTCGCTCCAGGACGCGGTACCAAAGCAGGAGGAAGCGCTGCGCTTCTCGTGTCCTGCGGGGCGAGTCCGGGAGACCCCGCTGGCACTGCGGAGGGGCGGTGACTGTGCAACCCCACGACACCGTGTAATGGCAGGACTATGCCGTGTGGAAGGGCGCCGGGGAGCTGAACACCTCTTCTGCTTTCCCGATGGCCGCTGTTCCCTTGGATGTGTCCTGCCCCGACAAAACACTGAGGCGTGCCGAGGGTGGGTGGCAGGAGGGCTTGCCCGGCTGGCTGGCACTGCGGGGAGGGGAAGGGCGCAGCTGGGCCGGACGGCTCAGGGCCTGCTTTCAGCTACAGACAGGAGCCGACAGGACTGGAAGATGGAGAGCAAGCTGCCATTTAGCCAATTTTATGCTTGGGTGGTCACATTAATAGCTCTGATTGGAGTTTCTGGGTGATTAACTGCGGTGCAAGCACGGAGAAGAGGAGCGGCTTTATTTTGTGAATTTACATATTCCTTCTTCACCTCTCCCTCGCCCCGTGCACTCTCCCTGCTGGGAAACTCAACGTTTTATCAGGGCTGTGAGAGCCCTCCTTGGTTGCCTCCCCTGCTATGTTTTCTCCAGAGCATTCTCCATGGATCCTGCTGTAGTGCTCCCAAGCACCCTGCCGCTCGTATTGGTGTGGATGTGTATTTTAAGCTGGGGAAAAATCAGTCTGCTGAAGCGACCTGTCCTGTCCCGGGTGGGGAATGGGGCAGGGGTCTGATGCAGCATCTCCCATGTCCTCCTCCCGTGTCTCCTTTTGCGTGGGTTTTGTCGCTGAGCAGAGCGACGGGTTGCATCCTGATTGCTGCTGATGCCAAGCCTGTGGTTAGTGACGAGGCAGACGGAGCAGGGCAAGTTTCCATGTTTCAATGAGAACATGACAGATCTGGAGGAACTTGAGCGGGTTTGTCCTGTTTACCTGTGTCATTGTCCCTCTGTCAGTCTCCAGGTGGGGTTTAAAATGATCGGGTGTCTCAATCAAGGTACATTAACTGCTTGCTTGCTGGCTCCGACAGTGGCTAGAGGTAGCTGGGTGGTGGCAGCCTGCTTTTTCACCCCTGTCTCGGAGCAAAGTGAGGTGGAGTGTAGGTTGCTCCTGCCAGTGCGGAGAGAAACGCTGTCGCTGCTTTGCAATTGCTGCAGCGGTCTCTCTGGGTTTCGGTGCTCCCAGCTGGAGACAGATTTGCAGAAGAGCTGGGCTCCTCCGCGGGCTCCTCAGTGCCAGCCAGGCTTCTCTTCAGGTGCACCAGCAGCTCCCGCTGTGATGCCCTTGGCCAGGGCCTCAGAGGTTCCTGGTGTGCTCACAACCTCCCAAAGTGAAGTCCTGCCTCAGCCCTCTTGAATTTCAGGCCCTGAGCTCTGGATTTGTCAGTCCCCGCTGTTTGGTAGAGCTTAAATTAGAAAAAGTGGAGAAGCGGTGAGGCAGAGTGCCGGGGAAGTTTGCAGATGTGGGGCTGTGATGCCGAGCAGCTACCTGGCCAGAGCCGGTATCATCGTTTCTGTGGGGATCCCCGTCGTTTCCGTGGGGATTCGTTACTCATCAATAATTCAGGCCAAACTGTCTCCAGGATAAGGAAAGGAAGAGAAGGTAAGCGGGGCTTTGATCACAGTATCTGACACAGCTTGACAAGATCCCAGCCTGGAGGATAATGGGGTTCTGTAACCTAAGAAACCACTTTATAGGTAGAAAATGGGTGTGCGGGTGACGATGCCATATGCACCCAGGGAAATTTCAACTACTCTCCATCTGGTTTGTAGCTTTTTGTAATTGCTGGCAGTTTGTGAGTCTATGAGAAATTCCAGGAAGGCTGGAAGAACAAAAAGAATTGATCAGTCTAAAAATAAGATGGTTTGTACTCGGTGTAAGACGCTCTTGGGAAGCTAGGGCAGCAGCATTGCTGCTGTTCTGGTGAGATGTCTCTTTCTAGGATTTATTGTGCCCTCGTGATTGTTGAACTAAGCTTTTCTCTATCTGTGCTTCTCTCCTTTGCAGAAGTGGAACAGATTGAAGCCATAGCGAAATTTGACTACACTGGACGATCTCCACGAGAGCTCTCCTTTAAGAAAGGGGCCTCGCTCCTCCTGTACCATCGGGCATCAGAAGACTGGTGGGAAGGGAGACATAACGGTGTGGATGGCCTCATACCCCACCAGTACATTGTGGTGCAAGACATGTGAGTAAAGCGGTGTGTGTTGATCCAGGCCGTTAAAATCACATAGCTACGTAAGGTCCACCGCGGGACCACAAGGACCACTAAAATAGGTGGTCAGACTTTACAAGGTTTAATGACTTTGGTGAGAAGTCTGGACCTGTTCACATCTGCCTCTCTGTGTATTGGCTCAGACTGTTTCTCGTTGAGAAGCTGTTAAAGCCAAGCAGTAAATACTGTACTTCAGTGTGCCTGAACCCCATCTATCATTGACTCCTCAAAGTGGCATGACCCAGGCTTAATACGGGCCTTGCCCCCTGTGTGCGTTGGCCTGGCATCGTTCAGTGCCCACCTGGCCCGTAGGCAGATCCCAGGGACCTTCACAGATGCTGCTTCTGTTACAAGTACTGTACCTGGATTAATTAAAATGGCGGCTACAGCGCAGGGGGATATGGAGATGTGCTGTTCACTTTTTCCAAGCTCCAGGTACTGTCTGAAGTGGTGGCCTTGGTCCAGCCCGTTGTTAACAAAGTCTGGAGCTGCCAGAGGGGTGATGTTCAGATCCACGTTGTGGCTGGGGCCTAGCCTCTCTCCGGGGGCAGAGCCCTCTTACTGACGGCGGTCTCCTTTTCCCAGGGATGATGCCTTCTCTGACAGCCTGAGCCAGAAGGCGGACAGCGAGGCAAGCAGCGGACCACTGCTGGACGATAAAGCCTCCTCCAAGAATGACATCCAGTCTCCGACGGATCATATTGTGGACTATGGCTTTGGGGGAGTAATGGGCCGGTAGGGAAACTCTCATTTTTCTATGAACACAGAAGTGGTCGCTGTCACGTGCGGGGAGAGTCAGTGTGTGGTGTAGGGCAAGGCAGACGGGAAGGCTCCAGTAAGCACTGCAGAATAATGTGAGCGTGGAGGGGGCTTTCGTGTGCATTGCTAATGTAGATCTTAACAAGTAAAGAAGGTACAATGCTGTCCCTTTCTTGGCACTGGCTAAAATGTCTGTCTTCCCTCTTGCCTTGGTCTTCTGGAGCTGAAAGGCTCGCGTTCGGTTTGATCTGAACTCTCAGAGCTGAGCGATTGTCTTACAGCATGCAACCAGACGCTTTCGATCTGATGGACGGTGACCTAGTCTTGTGATGGATTCTTTTCAGAGTGAGATTGAGGTCTGACGGTGCAGCTATCCCTCGCCGTCGAAGCGGGGGGGACACCCACAGCCCGCCCCGAGGGATGGGTCCTGGCATAGACACTCCTCCTCGAGCAGCGGCCTGCCCTAGCAGCCCCCACAAAATACCTCTTAACAGGGGCAGGATTGAGAGTCCTGAAAAGCGCAGAATGGCGACATTCGGCAGTGCAGGCAGCATCAATTTCCCAGACAGGAAGGCCTTGTCTGATGGCCACCCGCTGAGATCGACCTGTGGATCGACTAGACACAGTAGTCTCGGAGATCAGAAATCTCTAGAAGCAGAAGCGCTTGCTGAGGTAAGAGGGTTGTGAAGCGGCTCTCGGTGCCCAGGGATCGAGAGGCTGAACTAAAAGTCACTGGGGTAGTGCCGCAGAGCCCCTTCCGTCTCAACACACTTGAGAGCTACAGTGCTGTTGTAGCTGCAGAGGTTTAAAGATAAAAATGAGCAGCCGACAGCTTGCCTGCTTTTCCAGCCGTATCGGTTGGTCTAATGAAAGATACTGCCTCCTTCCACAAACCTTGTTTCTTCAAAACGATAGGCAGAAACGTTCGATCCACCACCGGAATGCGCTGGCAGCTCTTACCTCCCGCAGGGAGGGAAGCGCATTATCGTCATCTGACGCTCTGTAAGGAGCTTAGGAGGAGAAAAGTGGATTTGCCAAATCAGAATTTGACTCGTGCTCAGTGTTTTTAGAACAGTGCTTCAGGACCTCAGAATGTTAGTCTAATCCCAATACGATGCCTCCAGCCGTGCAACATCATCGGCATCGCATTAGGCCATCGGTTCCACGGTGCTCGCTAAATTCGTGTTACCTCCAGCATAGCCTGCAGGTCTCCTCTCTACCGCTGGCAGGAGGCCCCCGGCCAGGTATCGGTCAGGTTGTACCAAACCTGTTAACGTCTCGGAGAATGGTCCTTCACGGAGCAGGCTGCAGAATTCTCCAGCCTCCCAAGGACCCCCCAGTTCAGGCGCAGTCCCCGCCGGTGTGTCCGAACAGCCGTGGGTTGGGCCGGTTTGGGGCCCGGGGGCTGGGAGCGCTGCGGAGGGGCTGTTCAGCATCCCCTCTGGGATGGTCGGTGGTGCCCAGGTGGAGGGGTGCAGCTGCTGGGGAGGCTGCTGCCCTCCACCTGGGAGCAGCTCTTGTGCCACAGGGTTTGGCAGGCTGTTTTAGGTAGAATCAGCTGCGTTCAGTGGGATAATTAATGGTAATTGCAGAAAGGAAAAACTCTTACTGTCCTGTTTGCTTTTCCACCAGCCGCGCTCCTTGTTCTCTTGCTCTGCAGCACGCTACCCAGCTTCTCTGTCCATATGGAGCTTGCGTTTGGTGTGGTCAGTTTACAAAGTTACGGTCGCAGC